TTGACAATAGTTAATGATATATCATCGGCTAAATAAATCCAATATTGGCCCCAGATAAAATATTGGGCATAAACGCGCCCCGTATAGGACCAATATTTTGTGCTACTGGGGAAGTGCCTAACTTAAGTTTTAAGGTAACTGTCGTGTCCAATGTTGCAAATTATTTGTTAGGTTTAAGGTTACTTATCCGATTTTATAGATGGCCCTTTTCTGCCTTGGTTGTACTCTTTTGTTTGTCTCGTGAAAAGCGTCCAATTGACAGGTGGTAAGACCGTCCTGTAGCTGACTCTTATCACTTTACACTTTTTTGAGGGTATGATAGTCTCTACTCACTATATTTTATTTGCCCTTTAGTAATTATGTGTGGGTTTTAGGCTTTTATGTTTTTAAGAGGTCGCTATCCGAGACGTCTTACTATGTCGAGAGTTAAAACGTGACTGGCCTTTTACCTCTTTTTTATTGGCGTATTAATTTTTTTATGAGTATCAAAATAAAACGTGAGAAATTGTCATAATATTTTTAGTATTTGTTTGATAGTTGCAGTTGACGGTAGCAAAGTTTAACAGTAGTCTACGCAGTGCTTGACGAGCTTACTCTCTAACAGAAACTTGTATCCCGGACAATTCCTATCAACTCCTATGTAAAATTGTCTGCTGAATCTGAAAATGTAGTCAAAAGTTATAAAAGTAGAACCGTTGAGTGATTAATCAATGATTGAACAGTTTTTGAGATATAGTCAATTTGACTATATCTCAAAAACTGATCTACTTTAATAATTTTGACTTATCTTTTCGGATTCAGGGGACAGTTTTACATAATATTAAGCTGTTAAATGTCCGGGATACAAATTTCTGTGGACTACAGTTATAAGTGACTTCTTTTTTACTTTGAAAACTACTCATTTTGGACTAAGAGAGTACGTCACAAAAACCAGTTGTATTTTTTGTGATTTTGTTTGTTTGGTAATTTAATAAATATATTTTATGCTTAATTTCAGCAGTTTTTTTTACATTTTCAATTACATATTGCCAGTTTGTATAATTTTTTTTAAATTTTAGGGCGAATTAAAATATTTAATGTATTATATTTAAATATAAAAGGGGCGCACCAAAGAATGCTGCACGTAGGCGCCAGACACCCCAGAAATGGGCCTGAATAATAATAATAATAATAAAGGTATTTATTGCCCAACAGTTTTCACAATACAGGACATTCTAATTCTAATAATTCAATAATATGTCAGAAGTTAATAAAAGATTATTTTGTAAATAAAACAGGGAAGGTTGTAACATTAAGAGACTTAACAAATTTAAACATAGCAAGAACTAAAAATCTCCCTAAAAATAATTTAGTTCAATTTTTAAAAGAAAAAGAGGGCTTAATAGTTTATTTTGCTGTTGACCAAAATAACGATTTGGTGGGGTGTATTATGCAGACAGGGAAATGAAATATTTTTTTGATTTATACCCAGAAATGCTTCTCTGTGATACTTCCAAATTAGGTAAATAATTTGAGAATGCCCCTGTACTTATTAATAATTATAGATGGAAATGTCCACTGTGAAATAGTAGCAACGTTTCTTATGGCATGTGAATCGGCAAATCCTAATAGGATTATGACTCACACAATTATGACAGATAAAGATATGACTGAGGGAAAATCATTATCGGAAGAATTTCCACAAGCCAAATTATTGCTATAACATGCTATAACATCAGAGGCATTCAATATAAATACTGAACAAAGACAAGCATGTTTAAAAATAATTCAAAAAATGAAGAAGAATACTTTCAAAATTATAACTCTTGTAGAGTTGAATTTGCCCAAAGTACAAAAATATTTTGATGAAAATTGGCACAATATAAAAGATGAATGGGTTGAAGGGTTTAAAACGGGCGCCGTTACTTTTAATAACAGTACCACAAATCACTTAGAAAGTTTAAATAAAAAAATTAAGCAGATGTGCTCCAAACAAGCGATGATATGTCTTTAGGGTACTTTAAATATTGCACGAAAAATTATTAATAATCTAATATTGGCAAAATTCTTCGAGTTATGGAGGTCAAAAAATTCAGCGTAATTTTTTGTATTTAAGAGATTTTTATATATTTTTTAATTAATTATAATTTTTTTTAAAGAATCTGGTTTTTAATATTTTTCCGGGCACTATTTAAAGTACCCCAAAGACGTTTCACTGAGTTTTGGGACACTGTAAACATATTTGTTTGTAATAATAAACTTTAATATTTTATTATTAGTTGTTTTATTCCAGCAGTCAGAATATTAACACCAATCATATTTTACCAACCATATGTTTTTAAAAAATGTTTGAAGTCAAGACAACGGTCGCGACCATAGAACACATAGAACCAGAAAGCGCTTTAATTGGCATAGTAACTTGTGTAGCCGAAATCAGAGGAAAGAAAGGTGCGGGAGGAAACAAGTCATGCGAGTACGTTTATCATTTTAGCGATGCGCCGCTTTGATGAAACAGGAGGGTATTCAGGAATTTTTTGTATTTAATAAATTTATATTATAATGTACATAATATGTACCCTATATCGTGTTATGTGTGCAGTGTGTTAAAGAAATATAAAGCTGTGGTCAAGAAATAAAAAGCTTGATTTAACTTTAAACTTACCTAAAGAAATATAAAGCTGTGGTCAAGAAATAAAAAGCTTGATTTAACTTTTACTTACCTACCTGGACAATTTATAAAACAAGCGACGAAGGAGCGAGTTTTGTAATAAACGAGTGCGACAAAAGGTCTTATGACATGAGTTCTTTATGGTATTTTATCTATTTTGTAAAAATTCTATAAAATATTAATTAATTTTATACCTTATATTTAATATATTTAATTTGGGCGAATTTTACTTTAGATGTGTGGTATCACAGTCATTGGTTTGACAATTAATGTCAAAATCGATTCGCCATGCCGTGCTTAATTTACTTATTTACAATAAGCGGCTGTTATTGTTAAACAAGAAAAAAAGGACTTTCTTTGGTGTTAAACAAAATTTATTGCCAGAGAAGTCTCGTAAGTACTAAAAATATCATACAAATATTTTAACCAATATGCAAAATATTATTTTACTAGTATGCTGTTTAAAGTATAACCAACCTATAAAATCAGAATTTTGGGTGAGGTAAAGTATCTCATTACAGCACCGAAAGCGGTGTTATAATGAACACAAAATAGATAAAATATATGCATAGTACATAAAAACACGATTAGTATTCTCTAAATAATGTCATTTTATTTAATATATGACGTTTACTTGGTTTAACATTATGAGATATTTTTGTCAAATAGTTCACTCGAATGTCAATATATTTTTCCGAAACACCTTGATGATATAAAAATTTCTTTGTTAATAAATTAGAATCCATCAAAATATAAATTATTACGGACCGGGCAGCCCGGTTTCTGACGAGTTATGTTCGAGGATGAGACCAAAATAAACAATATTAATTAACTGCACTATTTTACTTACAAAAAAATGAAACTTTATTTTTCTGTTTATAACTGGTAGCAGAACAGTTACTACACCCATTTACCATGCATTTGCCCATTTTTTAATTTAATAACACTTAATAAATCGATATGTGCACTCCACGGAAGTTCAAATACTAATGACGGCAAAAATACGAACGGGTCTAAATAAGGACTAGATTTAGGTAACACTCGCTTTGCCCTTATTCTGGTTCTATGTGTTCTGTGGTCGCGACCGTTCCAAGATACATACACCTTGCGCATGTTGGCGGGGCTTAAATACGTCACTTGTTGAGTATTTTTAAATCTTTAATTATCTGCTGCTAAAATTCTTGTTTTTGCGATGCTGTTGGATGTTAAATTGCTCTATATTTTTGTTTAACTTGTTTTTGCGTTCGGTAAGGTTCGAATTACTTTTCAGTGTTCAAATTATTGATATTGCGTTGTGTTAACCTGTTCTGTTTGTTTTTTATTGTTTTGTTTGTGTTTTAGTTTGTGTCGTGCCATTTGGATTTATTAAAATGCGGTGTGGCATATTTGGATGCAATTCGGACAACCAGTCCAAGAAAAACACTTTAAATAAAAACATTAAATTTCATCAATTCCCGAAAAACTTTCATTTGTGCAAACAGTGGTTAAATGCCACAAAAAGAATATACAATATTAACGTTAAGATCGCTTCTGTTTCCTCTAAAGATTTTCTGGACAGTGATCATAAGTTTAATTTAAAACATCAACTCTTAAACTACAGCCCTAGTCCAGATATTTCTCTATTTTCTTTGATAATATTACTATTATTCGTGTATTCGCACGACAACAACTCATCTAGTGACGTCATGCCCGGCACGAACCAAAACTCGTCCACGGGAGCATCCAGCCCTGCGAACGTTCGGTGGAATAACATTTAGGCTAACGACCGAAAAATCGGCAGACTAACTTCTGAGAGTAATTTACCGGATAGTCGGTAGACTAACGTGGATGTTACTCTACTGAATGTTCGGCAGACTAAACACTCCCTAATATTTATTAAGGAAACTTTACGAAAAATAATATAAATTATAAATTCATTTTATTATTACTTTTTAATTTTGTTTGGGAGTGCACGTGCTCGTGTGCTCTTATGGAGAAACCGCCACCTAGGTATATGGCAAAACAATATTATTTGACCATCTCCCCGTCACTTAGTAAATGCCTAAGCATATAATCATTTGTATTATATGACTGGGACAGTTAACTTAAATCTAATGTAATTATAAAACCAATACAAAAATTTCCTTAATTTAGAAGCAAAATTAAAATTTCGCGCGCGCATTTTACGCATGCGCAATCAAGCTTTTGCTTTAGATCTCACTCTCCGCGATCATTTGATCACATATGCGGCTGCACTTGAATGCGTTGAGAACTCACAAAAGTAAAATTTATAAAAACATATTAGCTCATCTGAACTTAGAGTTGCTGCGCGGAAAGTTAATGAAAAAAAACATTAAGTAATTATGAATTTTAGGAAGAACATTACAGACAACACGCCGCAGAACTTCAATCACAACAAAAAGAAATTGATGATGAAGTAAGAGTATACCAAGAACAATTAGAACAAGAAAGGCAAGATCGCGAATTAGCTTTACGTTTGGCCCAAGAAAGTAATGGACAAGTTGAAGACAGCCCTCCAGTTTTTAGAAGGTAAAATATTTTTTATTAAATTACTAAAATTTGGAAAAATCTGTGATTTTGACCCAAACATTTTTGATTTTAAATTTTATTTAAAAACTTATTTATTCTAAACGTTACATTTCGTAGTATTTTTAATCACAACGTTTCGACTATAGTACTATACTATAGTAAGTACCTCCACACGGAGAAAAAAGTTTATTGCTCCCAAATAAAAAAAATATTTAAATATGGGACAAGGGTACAGTTTATTTATCCTAAATATATTTTTATTCCCGACACATAAAGTTTTACTAAAGTATATTTATCGTTATTATTTCGACTATTTAGAGGTAATAAACCATATATTCACTACAAATAAAAGTATTAGGTAAACAGTTTATTTGTCCCATTTTTTTCTCAGTGCAGTCTAAACGCCGTGATTAAAAAAATAACATCAATGGAAGTCCAAAACCTTTCCTTCATTCAAAAAACATCATTGTCTACCTTCAAACATTACTTCTTCTACTTACTAAAAATTTCTTAGAACGTTTTGTCTTGAAATTAAAAAAAAAGAGATAGGGTCTTAATAAGCAAAAATTAGAGTTTTAAAAGTGTTACTTTCTTTTAAAAACTTAGACTAGGACTCCTAGTCTTCAGAAAGAGTTATTCTGACTTAATAAACCTTTCAGCAGAGAAGTGCACTTCTCTGCTGAAAGTTTTATTAAGTCAGAATAAGACCATGGTCTAAAGAAAAAATTAATATTCGGAATTCATCAGATGTTCTATTTGGTTATTAGACCAGTGCAGAAGCCTTTAAAAATGGTAAAAAGAGAAAAAAAATAACAGTAGGATGAAAGCCATTGGAAAAGGAGGGGAATATAATAAAAATTAAAGGAAAAATAAATTACGGGCGATCTGAGTTCGGGAAGTGGGAGGGGGGGGTTTAAGGGTAAAAAATGGTTTATCTCGATTTCCGGCAAAACTACAAGTCCTATGGAAAAAAGTTAAATGGCAAAGTTGTAGGTAATAAAAAGATCCTTTTATTACCTACAACTTTGCCATTTAACTTTTTTCCATAGGACTTGTAGTTTTGCCGGAAATCGTGATAAACCATTTTTTACCCTTAAACCCCCCCTCCCACTTCCCGAAGTCAGATCGCCTGTAATTTATTTTTCCTTTCATTTTTATTATATTCTTCTCCTTTTCCAATGGGTTTTATCCTACTGTTATTTTTTTTGGTTTCAAAAATTATCGACCCTGGTCTATATTGTAAAAGAAAACAAGAAAAAGAGTATTTATAAACATTGTTTCTGTGTTGTTATAAGGCTATGAAGCAATGTTTACAATAAGCCAAGTTTATTTCAATTCATCACAATAAAATAGTTAAGACAAACGTTTTGTTTGTGAACATACATATCACTTATTGATTACATAACATTACAATTGTTATACGTTATGTCATAACGTATAACAATTGTAATTTTTTGCAACGCAATAATGTGTTCGACTTGCTTTTATGGTACGTACTGACCTAAATTAATCTGCTGAGAAAACCGATATAACGTTTACAGTCGCCCAGTACACAATTAAACTTACAGTGGCAACAACAGTGGCGGCGATAAGAATTCGCCCCCCCCCGCTAAATTTTTCAAGGACATTCATGCATGTGGCAATAAAAGCTGGAAATACTGGAATTTTTTCTAAGATGCTAAATTGTAAGAAAAAAACTCGGATATATCTTTAGATTTTATTTTAAGTTTTTCTATATTACCTGGAAAATATTCTGTATTGTAGCGTAGTTAAAGAAAAACTGGGCTTGTGTCACATTTTATTTTATAAATAGGAAATCATTTCATATATTACATAAAATATTTATATTACAAAATAGTTTCCAAAGAAATGATAATAAAAGGGTTGTGTCTAAGCCAGAAATTATACAAATACCGTAATTTGCTAATAATAGCTACAAAATATTTCAATCGCTTAAATGCTGGTGCTAGTGAAGCTATAAGTGGATAGATCGAGAAATAGAAAGTTTAAGGTAGCACTGTTAAATTGCCAAAATGACGATGTTTTTGTTTTAAATATATATCGACCAACTGTTCTAAATCAAGTTTACGCACACGTTTATGATTAATACTTATTACACCTCGCCTTGCGCATTAAAATACGTAGATATGTTTTTATTAACTTCAACTTTGAAAATGTTCTTTCGGCAGAAGAAGATGTTACATGTCAAAAAAAGTTAAAACAACGAAAATACACTTTGAAAGTTTATGAAATGCGTGGATAAATTATTCGAGAAGTCATTTCCGTTTTTTTCCAATAATTTTTCGGCACAATCTATAATTGCTTGGGTAGATAATTTAACGAAACCATCTGGATTAAAAAATAAAAAATAGCTCATTAATTAGTTCCTACTAATAAGTCGTGTTCTGAGTTCATTAATTATAACTTATTTTTTATATCAAGAGACTCGTAGAAGATTTTAATTTAAAATCTTCTTAGAGAATCTTCTAATTCAGTGTCAGTTGCGAGTTCATCAAAAAATGTCTTGACCATTATTTGGCGCTTATACAGCAAACGGAAAAATATAGAAGTGTACACTGTTCAAAATTTCATGACCATTTTAACACCAAATTAACACCAAACATGGTCTATATCGATACAAACCAAAATGGTGTTAAATAAGTTCCGTTGGCCGGTGTAAATTCAAATACTAAAATGGTGTTAATTTAACTTTCACACAGTATTAAAATAAATTTTATTTGGTGTAAATTGAACTCCTTTTCAGTGTTAAATATTATGGGTTTGTGGACAAATTAAATCATAATACACAGAAAAAAGGGGAAAAAAAGGAAACAGGAAGTTCCTTGACGCATTACTAGTATATTACCAGTGGTATTATTCCAGAAAATGGAACCTTCAACTCGCTAGAGATAATGTTTTTAGTGCGTTGCACTAACTTAAAATACTTTAAGTATTGACAGCTGGTTCCACCTATTTAAGGTCTCTTTAGTATCGAACAACTTGTAGTGTCACACCAAAGCAAAGGATTACCTCAGTTTATATATTCTTCATGTAAGTCAACAGACGCGAGATTTAAGAACATCACGTGATCCACACCGCCTTTGCCGCGATCGGTACACATTTTCAACCATAATTTATGATGTTAAATTAACACCACTTGGTGTTGGATTTTGACACTATTTTAAGATTACTTTTTACAACACAGATATTTTAAACAGTGTATTGGATGACGCCACGTTTGATTACGGTTTTCTAAACCCTCGCTAAATCAAGTTTACGCACACGTTTATGATTAATACTTATTACACCCAAAGCACTAAGTCTCACCTTGCGCATTAAAATACGTAGATATGTTTTTTTTAACTTCAACTTTGAAAATGTTCTTTCGGCAGAAGAAGATGTTACATGTCAAAAAAAGTTAAAACAACGAACAAATATCCGGATGACTGATCAAAATGCATCTGTTTTCTGATAAAAAAATATGTGGCTAATTCATAGATTGTTTTCTTTTTTAGAATTTCATTTGAAAATACACTTTGAAAGTTTATGAAATGCGTGGATAAATTATTCGAGAAGTCATTTCCGGTTTTTTTTCCAATAATTTTTCGGCACAATCTATAATTGCTTGGGTAGATAATTTAACGAAACCATCTGGATTTAAAAATAAAAAATAGCTCATTAATTAGTTCCTATTAATAAGTCGTGTTCTGAGTTCATTAATTATAACTTATTTTTATATCAAGAGACTCGTAGAAGATTTTAATTTAAAATCTTCTTAGAGAATCTTCTAATTCAGTGTCAGTTGTGAGTTCATCAAAAAATGTCTTGACCATTCTTCGGCGCTTATACAGCAAACGGAAAAATATAGAAGTGTATTGGATGACGCCACGTTTGATTACGGTTTTCTAAACCCTCGCTACGGTATAGAGTTGTATTCGTCAGTCGAGCGTTTCAATACTCTCCAAAGTATAGAGGTCGTAATTTGACTTTTGAACTAGTATTAATATGAAAATTATTTTATGCTTGAAAAAAAAAACTATATACGACATTATTGTGATTTTTTTTCATTTTATTAATAAATTAATTTGAATATTTTTCCTAAAGGAATAATTGCCAATGGCCATTAATTCATTTGTTCGTAGATGCCTGCACTGGTGTGTACTTTTTGTTCAACCAGATTTAAATATTGCTGTACTAACATATACCAGTGGAGATGTGCAGGGTCTACTTACATTATTAAAGTTTAATAGCATATCGATCATTTTCAACATAACCTATTATAAATTTTTAATACAAATATAGGTACCTACTTTATATAATACATAAATATACTTTATCTCCACGCGGTCTATAATTTAAACTTTATTGTCGTCAACATTCGATAAAGAAATACCTTGTTATGGCCTAGGCCGATAAAAATTTTTATGAGGCAAGTAATTAGTTCGATTTTTTCTCGCTAGGGGTATTGTTTTGACAAATTAATCCTTTTCTAAGAAATTAACGTACTAAACTGGTTTAATTTATTTATAATAAGCACTAATGTGTTTGTTTTACTGTTATAACATTATAATGTTTAATATTTTTCATTAAATTATTGTAAAATTAAATATGAATAATAAAACAAAAAGTAAGGTTAGGACATTGCAATTTGACGTTTCACAGTTGTGTTTTCTTTTTCTACGATTTAAATTATCTTTAAATTTTAATTTGCTTTAAGTTTTCAGTAAAATTAAATGTTAAACACAGCGTAAACATTCCAAACTACCTATTTTTTTAATAAAAATGCAAACAAATTGAAATTAGATACCTATTTATTAAACAATTAATTGAATTCAATGTAATAGCAAGAGGGTAAGTAAACCATTTTCTTACAAAAATCCATTTCTACTTAAATCATGTAGCTAGGTATTGTCAAACTATTACTGCTTCTAAAAGGAATAATAATTATTGTACATTTAATGTAATCTTTAGCTAATAAATAAATGAGATTCAAAAAGTTA